CAGGAACAAGTTTTAAACCATAGTTATAAGCCAAAAAAACCATAAGGAAAGTGAACAAATCAAATCCTTGGGCAAGCTTTAGGGAATGATTGCCAAAGCCACATTTTAGAAATGAGCTACTGGAGGGATCTGCTGCCCTTTCTGTACAGGAAGCTTTAGGTTCCAGAACCCATCAATGCCTATATCAGAAACCACCATGATTAGGAAGGTATTTCAATCAGGAAGCCACTTCTGCTACTACCAACTCAAAAACCAGTTATGAAAGCTACACTGGAAATTAGCAGTGGTACATCTGCTAAAGCTGCTACAGGAAAACCAAGCATACCTAAAGGTATGCTGGCCAGAATAAACAGTGGAAGTGCACCACAGCCTCAATTCCTTTTCTCCATTGTTATGGCATAACTTAAATCACAGCCTGCACATTGGTGGCAAGTAGTTCCTGGGGCAGGTAGTTTTAATGTTTCCAGACTCTAGAAGGGAGGACTGGGTAAAGTGGCAGCACACCATGTACATTACAGTCCTTGTTTCCTTTGAAGCTCTTGACTAATTTTGACACTGCTGACCCCTTCCTCCTTCGTGGAATTCTTTTCTCTTGATTCTGTTGTAATGTTCTCTCCTGATTCCCTTCTGGACCAAGTACTTTTTCTCAGAATTTTTCCTGGGCTCAACTTTCTTTGCCTGTCCCATAGTGACAGTGTTCCTAAGATTATCTTTGGGTATTCTTCTCTCTTCTCATTGCATGTTTTTTTTCTTTTCTGTTGTCACTATAGACATTTCCTGTACATTCTTTTTCAAGGTTTCAAGTACCATCCATATGTTGAACATTTCCCAATTCTACATCTCTAGTTCAGATACCTTTATACTCAACTATCAGATATTTCCATCAAATGTCCCAACTCAAGATCAGCATGTTTAAACAGTCCCTGCTTCTCTACTCCTAAATCTTTTCTTCCTTTATTCCCATTTGGGTGAATGTTGCCAAATTCAGGAGATCGCTTATCTCAGATATTCAGGCATTATTCTAGAAACACCTTCCCTTTAATCTATAGCCAATCCTATTGATCCACCCCTATGTTACTCTGTTGGTGATGACATTTTAGAAATAATACTAAAGGCACGATCTATGAAAGAAAGAATTGATAAGTTGTACATCACTAAAATTAAAAATTTCTGCTCTGCAAAAGACACCATTAAAAGAATAAAAAGTGAAGTCATAGACTGGGAGAACTCTTAAAATTCAACAATAAGAAATTAATGGTTTAATTAAAGAATGGGCCAAACATGTTCACAGAAACATCACCTACAATACACAAATGTCAAATAAGCATGCAGAAAAATGTACTATATCATATGTCCTCAGGGAAATGCAAATTAAAACAACAATGAGATACCACTGCCTACCTATTAGAATAGTGAAAATGCAAAACACTGACAATACCAAATGCTGTTGAGTAAGCAGAGCAACAGGAACTCTCATTCATTGCTGGAGGAAATTCAAAATGGTACAGCTCTTCAGAAGACAGTTTGGCAGTTTCTTATAAAACTAAATGTAGTCTTACCATATGATCCAGCCATTGCACTCCTTGGTATTTAACCAATGGCGTTGAAACCTTATATCCACACAAACACTTGCACATAAATGTTTATAGCAGTGAAAACTTGGAAGCAGCCAAGATGTCTTTCAGTAGATGAATGGATAAATAAACAGTGGTAGAACCAGAAAATGGAATATTATTCAGTGTTAACAAGAAATGAGCTATTGAGCCATGAAAAGACGTGGAGGAAACTAAAATACAAAGCACTATGCAAAATTGGTCAATCTGAAAAGGCTACATAATATGTGATTCTCATTATTTGACATTATGGAAGTGAAAACTGTAAAGATAATAAAAAGTTCAATAATTTCCAAGAGGTAGGGAGAAAGAAAGATAAGCAGGCAGAGCCTTAAGCATTTCAGGGCATTAAAACTCTTCTATGTAACACTGTAATGTTGAATACATGTTATTATATATTTGTCTAAACTCACAGAATGTACACCACCAAAAGGGAGCCCTAACTGAACCATGGACTTTGAGTGATTATGATGTTTCAATGTGGCTTCATCAGTTGCAACAGTTGTACCCCTTTGGTTGGGGATGCTGATAATGGGGGAGGCTATGCAAATATAGGAGCAAGGGTTTGTGGGAAATCTCTCCAGTACTTTTTTCTCTATTTTGTTGTGAACCTAAAACTGCTGCCAAAAGTATTCTTTTAACAATGACAGTGCAGTAGTGATAGCCACAGCCATTGTAGTGGTGTCAGTGGTCCTATTGTTATTTAATGACATCCTTTTCTTTACAGTTTCTGCTTTACCAGAATCCTGACATCCTCTGAAAACAAAGCTTATTTTTATGCCTCCATGTTGTTCCACTGTTATTCTCTCTACTCAGATTGGCCTCTCTTTCTACATCTTCATCCTTCTTCCCCGCAAAAAAAAAAAAAAAAAAAAAAAAAAAAAAACACTTCTCATTCATATTCAAGTTTCTGATGAAGCATCAACACCCATCTGAAGCTGTCTTCAACTCCCTCTAGTGCTGCCTCTTTACTCAGACTTCCACACTAGGGGTGACCTCATTGTACCATAATTGTTTGCAGGCCCATCTCCTGGAGAACAGGGCCTGGATTTACTCATTGCTTGGAATACAGTGCCATTCATGGCATTAGAATATGGTAGGTGCTCAGTAATCACTAACTGATGACTGCATTCATGAAGTTGCAATATTAATAAGCACACAATATATACACAGTTGGTGCAGAAGAGAATAATTCTTGATGTGCAAGCATGATGCCCATCTTTGGAAACCTGGCCCAAGTTCTGCTTCTCCCATGAAGTTTTTCCTAACACCTGCAGGCCCCATCTGTGCTACTGCTGGTAGCATCCGGAGTAGTACTTGGTCAGACATCAAGCAGTCATCTTTCTTTATTTTCATTTATAATGCATGTTTTCCCAACAAGACAGAAAGATCCTCAGGACAAGGATGATGTTACATTTCACAGAATCTAGAATGCCAGGTAGGTAGCTCGCTAGAACAGCAATAGGCATAGGTGCTGTCTCCTGCAGCTACCAGAATATTAGCCTCCATCTCCATCATCATGAGGCCAGACCAGTTCTGAATACTGTAAGTATTAACATGAAAATTTACAGTTACAAAAAAATAGAATGTCTTATTTTATACTTAGGATACATAAGCATAGTGCCTTTCCCACCTCTACAGTTAAAAATCTTCAACATAGTGCTAGTAGTCACATGAATTCTTCCTCCATAAGAAATTATTGAAAAACAAAACAAACCTTATATAGATGTGGCTGAGGATGGTATTCTGCCCTTCACTTCTTTTGCTCTATTAAGTATCCCCCATCTGTCACCATCCTTGTTTCTGGTGTACTGCAGAAAGGTCAGTAGCTTCAATCGGGGTTTTATTCTAATGCAGAGAATTCGGCATCTCTATCTGCTTTGAAGTTTGCACAGTCTTCACCTTTGCGTAGGTACCTCACTGGACTCTATCCCTCTCACATAACTCCAACCACTCCTGTTCCATGTATTACTGATATATAAAGAGGTGTTACAGGACACATTCTCTAGGGCCTTCTGCAAAAATTAGAATACTCTCTTCTGCTGGGGTTGTGGCTCAGAAGTATAGCGCTCACCTAGCATGTGCAAGGCACTGGGATCAATCTTCAGCACCACATAAAAATAAATAAATAGAATAAAAGTATTAAAAAAAAAATCTCTCATTAAAAAAAAAGAAAAAAACAATAGTCTTTCTTATTCTCAATGCCTGTATGAATTTGCTTTCACAGCCTCTCTTCCCCCACATACACACACACCACACAATCTGGGACAGTGGTTTCCTGTAGAATTTGGACTTTGGGTAGGAAGAAAATAGCTTCCAGTTTGTTGAGTGCTGTCTAGAAAGTTCCACTACTGACCTCCACACAGTTGGCTACTTCCTGTGCTAACTGGCATGCTCTCTTCCTCTCCACCCAATTATAAAAACCTGGGTTTTCTCTTTGTTCCTCCCATGCCCAAGCAGGTGAATGGTCTGTAATACTACATGTGTTGATGTGAACAGGTAAGAAATCAGTCACTCAACAAGCACTTTTAAATACCTGTATATTCATGGCAGGGTAAGATATGAGGTCTTTACATTAAAGGAACCAACATGCTATTGAGAACCTACTGGATGGTAGTGGCTGCCCTGCAGGATCCTAGAAGGTGACAGAAAAGGCTCCAAGAGAGGTGAATCCAGGAAGTAAACAGGAAGGGACAAAGTTCCTTTCCATTCATATGGGTGGGAAACAGTTTATCACTTTTTGGTTGTTCACAGGAAGGGAACCAAGTGAAGTTCAGATACTGTGCAGTAGAAAAGTAGTTGTCCCCAGTATCTGTAAGTTTTGTGGAAAAGGTGCTTTTAAAAAAAATTAAGAGGAGCTTCTGATGTTATGGGGTCCTGGACACAGAAAATGCATTAAGTAAAATTCAGAATATATGGGCTTCAGTTAGCAGTAATGTAATATGTCAATACTGATTCACTAATCATAAGAAATGTGTCATATCAATGTAAGAAGGTAGTGATAGGGAGACTGGGTGCAGGATATATGGGAACTGTCTGTGCTGTCTGCTCAGTTTTTCTATAAATCTAAAACTATCCTAAAAACTGAAGTTTATTTTATAAAGAAAAAGAAGGTGGTTTACAGCCTACAGAGTATCCCTAGCATGGAGACAGGAGGGAGTCAGTTTGAAAATGACCTTTTTTTAAAGAAGTGACTTTGTTGGTAAAACCCACATTTGTGGCTTGATTACCAGTTCCTATAGGGATGCTGAGTTTTTGCTTGCTTTCCTGTGGTTGATTTTTGGCAGGCGGCTGCAGCATTTGTGCACCGATTATAATTTTGAGATGCATTGTCAGTACCCAGGATATATAATGGTTCTTCATTTCTAATTACTTTTCTCTCCACAGGTGTCTGGAAAAGGTCCAGATGGGAATGCACACAACTTCCGCTTTGAGGGGCTGGAGAGACAGTATGCATCTTTACCCAGGTAGGTCACAGAAGGGTCTCCCATCACCAGCTCACCCACAAATGAAGCCTTTAGAGAAGTCTATATGAAATAGAAATCTGGCTTTGAAATGGAGAATATGTTATAATTTTTGCCTTACTGCTGTCTGCTGCAGCCCTATTGCCATCTTCTCAACTGTGCTAATAATTGAAACACTTGTGGGCTATTTTTTAAGGGGAGAAAATAGTATATCATTGCAATTGAACATGTCAGCAAGAATATTGGATACTGAATGGAAATCCTAAGCCATGGCTATAAAAATGGTATTGAACATCCTGCACCAAGCTTAGAGACAATAAAATAGTAAATCCTCTGTCCTAGAAGTTACCAGTAAGAAAGGGCAGGCCAACCTTAACCTTGGAGCTTCTTGTGGGTGTTAAAAAGCAGGAGAGAAATGTGAACCTGGGAAGGTGTTTTTTACTTGATTTAGTATCTGACCGTGTCCTCAAGCAATAAGCAAATGTCGCCAAAAGGCCCAGACACAATGAGGGAAAGAAACAATGACATGGGAAAAGTTTGCTTGGCCATTCTGACCTAACCTGATCCACTTATGCTGTAACTAGACACCTCTGAAAATGAGATGCAATTCTCAGAGGTTTGTACTCTTATCTGTGAGATGAAGAGTAATATTAGTGCACTATCAGAGCACAGGACAAAGAGGAAACCTTTCTAAGATGACTTAGCCTCCAGCTACCATGGGAGCGAGATGAGTTGAGAGTGTGAGAATTAGTGAGTTTGAATGAGAGACAAAGAAAAGTTAATGTCAGCCATGAAGCTGAAATGTTTCAGAGTATTACCTTAGAAATGGGTGAGAGGAGGACCCAAGCACAGCTTTAAGGCCATCAAAGCTGAGCTGCTGGCTTGCTAACTTAGAGATGGGGTTACAGTTTTGGGTTATTTGTTGGCTGTAATTCTGCAGGTAAATTGATAAAAATAACATCCTTACTGTTACAACACTCTTGGCCTAGGTATGTTGATTTTTTCAAAAGTGACAAAATCTCAAATCTAGCAGAAACCAGTTTTTAACACTGATTAGACAGAATACCCGAATGCAATATTTTAAATGCTTCCACACAACTGTATTTTATTTATCTCCCTGTGTTCTTCTTCTTTTTTTAATGTTGTCTCATAGTTTTTTATCATCCATGATTTCCTGTCCCTATTTTGTATTGGCCTAGTATTTTGTTTTCATTTAAAAAATGGAAGTAGTTTCCAAAATTTGTCTTAAATATGTAAGATTTCCGGCTTTCACTGCTGAAGTGTATGGAAATTGTACTTACAGCAGATGGAAAGTGGTAGGTTCCTAGTGGGGAGGGGGGAAGTGGAGGAAAACTGGAAATGCTTTAATGCCTTCCTGGCCAGCTCGTACTCTGAGTGCAGAAATGGAGATATATATATAATAATTACAAATCAAAAGCACAGAAAACACATTTAAAATTCTATAAATTTTATTCATTTATTCATTCCCCATGTATTTACTGATTGTCTACTCTATTTTGGGCCCTGAAAACATAGAGACTGAGACACGATCCCATTTCTACCCTCAGGACTACATTGTTTAGTAAAGGAGTCAAGAAAATCAGCCTTTTGCCATAATGCATCAAATGCTTACAGCACTATTAATATAAAGGCCTCTGAATTTCCAACTCCTGTTTATTTTCACTAATTAGCTCTGAAATACTCAATCATGGCTGACTCCAAACAAGTCGGTTTGAAGAATAAACACTGTGGAAGGGGTTTCTGACAAAGAGAGTACATTAATGCCGACCGAGGCTCTGGAGCTATCATCACAAAGTATGAATTGACAAAATCCTGCCAGCCCTGAGAATATAACTGTGATTGAAAGGGAAGCTATCTTAGACTGAAAATAATTTTGGCGAGAAGTCCATTCACACACATACACAATGCTCGGGGTGATTAGTTGCACGTGCAAACAGATCTTTGTAACTACCTGGCAACTAGAAGCAGCCATGACTGAGAATAAACAGGGCCCAAACAAATGCATGAGAGACCCCTGGCACCAGTTTCTCGATGGGAGAGCTCAAACCCGTGTTTCCATTCTCACCATCTGAAGAGGAGATGAGAGGCAGAGCTCCCTCCCAGGCACTGAGCCCAATCCATGGGAACCATATTTCCCCAATGAGATACAAAATGCGGAGGTGAGGGGCACACTGCTGGCCTCTGAGAAGTGTGCCGATTCAGCTCTGAATGCCTGTGACAGTGACCCTGGTTTTCTTTTACCCCACCCCCACCCCTGGAGATTTTACCATCCTCTTAATTGAATCACACCAGCTCCCTGTTCCCTCCCTTTGCCCGGACAGTGAGGCAAATACAGCTCTGTAGGCACGGGGGCCCTCTTTGTCAGAGGCAGGGAGCATTAAAATATTTATGGAGTTACATTTTTTAATTAAAAATAGGAATAAATTCTATCTCTAGGAAGTCGGTGGCCTTTCTTACGGGGGACTTAATATGCTACTGACTGATATGGTTCCTGTGTTGTTTGTGGAGATCTTCACAGGAGTTTTTATGAGAAACTCAATAACGCTGATTTATACGCCAAATTTGGAGGCATCCGCAGAGAGAAAGTGCCCCACAGTGCATGGAGTAGGTGAGGAGCCCCGGTCAAGGGGCTCCCCTCTAAGAGTTCATGGAACTCTGTCATCTTTAAAGCAGGCCCAAGCAGACTGCTGCCAAACTAAATGACACCACACAAAATAAAGCCAGGGTGCTGGCCAGCACAGGAGGAAGACAGTGCGTAGAGCTTGGTATCCGGAAGCTACCTAAGGCCAAAGGCTAAGCGATGTTAAGTGTTATTGTTAAGCAATGTTAAATCTTCAGCCTCCAAAGAAAAATAACTTTATTTCTTTTCTCCTGAGGGTGCTGTTTTAGAAAGCAGAGTGTGGTTTGTAATACAACCTCGTTAGCGAACCCCAGGCCTTTACCTGGGCCCCAGTTTTCTTTGGTCATAAACAGAATGAAATCAGCATCCCCTTACTCTTGCCTGACACAAATTATTACTCACCCTAGGTGAGTGGGGAAGTGGCTGTTTCCTGGGCTGCTGTAATGTGTGAACATCCATGCATGCATTTTTGCAAACGACTTCTTTTTTCACTCAGCCTGCCAGCCCCTTTCAATTCTCTCAGGCCCCATTCTGATTTTACAGGCCTCCTCACAGTCGGCCCGTTCAGTAGTGAACTCTCTATTCTCCCATCTCAAGCCTCCACCGTTCCCACCTGGCCCATCCCTGGCCCCGCGGGAGCCCATTAGCCCCTTCTCTACAGATGGCTCAGTGCACCAGCACATGATGTTGCTCTTCCGGGTTTATAATCAAGTGTGGAGTCCTGAGGAGCGAGCAGGACACGGCTGCATCTCATCTGCAGTCCTGTGTGCGTGGGTGGTGGGAGGTGGCTGGGGAAATTCATAAAACCCCATTCATCGGTTACACTACAAAATTCACATGAGGCAGCGCCAGCTGGGCCGCTGCTGCCGGCCAGCATTCCTTTTAGTCGTGTAGTCAACTCCCCTGACTATCCTGCAGTGGCCCTTCCGACCCCTTTCTACTCCTGTTAAGTCTTATGCACATGACTAAGCTCCCAAACCCCATCTCTAGAGATGACCTCACTTCCCTTCCTTTATGACCTTGAAGCACTCAACTTGAGTCCCTCAACTTCTTCTGCTCTCCGCCCCTCAGAATGCTGAGTCTCCACTGACACACAGTTCCCCAGAGCTTGGGGCCAGGCCAGGAGTGAAGCTCCAGCTCTGTCACTCATCACCTGTGTGGCCTTGGCCAGGGATCTAATGGCTCCAAGGCTCTGCTTTCTAATATGCAAATGAGGGTGACAATAAGGTCTCCATCTAACACTGGTATGCGTATTAAATACAATACGGAAATATAAGCAAGTCCTCCTTAAAGAGCCTGACATATTTGAAGGACTGTTTTTGTTTTTGTTTGCTAGCTCTCTCTGATTTGCTCTATAGGGAAGCCATTTTCTTTTCTGTAATGAGGCAAACCCATATTCTCACTGGCTTCCTGGGGAACTGCTACCACAACTCTCCCTCTCCAGGCTGCATCTTTAAGTCCCTGCAGTTGCTTTCCTCCCCCTGCCTATGCATAGGTTCAGCTGCACAGCTTGCTGAGAGTCCCTTCGGCCCTATGGGGAAGGGAAGAGCCAACACCTGCATGGTGACCACTGGAGTACTAACTGCAGCTGAAGAATTAGCTGACCCTGAGGGAAAACCAGGCATGCAGATGATCAGATGATCGAGAGCAAGGAAATACAGCAAACTAATGTGATCTGAGCTGTGCTAATGGACCCATAAGGAGATAGCAGTTCTTATAACTAGGGGATCCATTATATGGGATGCTGAGCCGGGTCTAGGCTAGAAGCCAACAAGACTTGGATACAAGGCTAGGACCATACCAGGGTGGAAGTCTTAAGATGCCCTAGCTCCCAGAGCAGACAGGGTGTGAATGCAGCACCCTCTTCACTGGTGGGAGGAGCCCCAGAGAGTCACCTAGCTATTGTTGGCTTTGGACAGGGCAGCGCTGAGCATGTAGCTCCAGGGCTCACCACTAAGCAAGGCTGGGGTGGCGGAACTGCCCCATGTGTTTGAATCTTGTTCCTCAGAGAAGAACCCTCCTGCCTCCTCCAGTGCCCTCATTTCCTGAGTAAAGTTGGCCTATGCCTGGGGGTTCCAGGACCAATCACACTGCAGCCACCTATCCCAGGCTTCTGATCATACCCCTGTGACTTCCCCTCGATTCTGCCACCAGCTGTTTCCCTTATGTAGATTCTCCCTCAGCAGTCTCCTGTATTCCCACAGATTCAGTTCTCTCACCATGATGATGATGATTCTGAACGTACCTGGCTAACCTCCGTATCTCACTCTTGCTTGACGTAGCATGCCAAAACCCAAGTCATCTTTCTTTGGCTCTTCTTCCTTTTAACGTCTATAACATTTATTTGGTTCCTTTCCAGTAC